CGGCATCCTTTTCCTCCTCAATTACTAGAGTAAGTGCTATTTAAAATGTACTTTAAAATAAGAAAGCTACTAATGGCAACATTACTGAAAGCAGTCTATGAGTTCCTAGCAGCGTCCCTGCATTGTGAGTACACAGCAAGGCAAGGTTTGCGTGGAAGGGAGATGTCTTACATCCGAACCATGAGCGCTAAACGTTACATATATTTCCCACTCTCCAAGTACAGTCAGCTAGTCCAAAATGTATCGCCTCCCCTTACAAACCTCACTCATAGGGAAACTGTGGGATGTGTAACATGAAATCTTTCTGCTTTCTGTACAAACTGAACTCCTCTAAGTGAAATCCTCTGGATACTGAAGAAAATGGACCAACAGAACCAGTGCCTAAAATAATTCCACGCAGCGTACAGAAGAGGTATGTTACACAATGGTATTGCCTTTTTCCCAAAGCACCTCACTAATGCCTCTCCTCTGAGCTGCTGCAAAAGCCTGGGGAGAAAGAGATCATTCAGATGCCACGTCCCATTTAATGCTTGGTCTCCCTCCTAAGACTATGGCAATTCGGCATCACTTGTGATGCTTAGTTTTATGACAGGCACAGCTGCGCAGCAGTCTTTGGAACATGATCAACTCATTTTGCAGCAGCGCACTGCACAGCTCACAGATTTTTCTTCTCCCCCCTCCCAGTGGACCTGGGCTGAATAGGGACAGATTTAGAAGCAAAAAAATTCCTCTCAATGCTAACCTCATCCGAGCCACCCAGTTCTGGCACCACTTTAAGGACAGTTGGCCTGGTAAATACGCTCTTTGAATGCTCTCCTTCTGCAGGAGGTATAACTCGCTGGGAAACACAGAAGTTAGCTGTCTCTTGAGGAGGCTTTAACCACATGGGAAGAGCTCTGTTCAGTAACCATCACATGATGGAATTTAAAGCAATTGCTACGCGTGCTGGTTGAGCGCCAGAAAATCCTTCCTGGGCCAGACCTGTAATGGATCTATTCCAAGATCTTTCGTAAAAAAGCAAAACCTCTGTAACTAGAAATCAGTAACTTAAGAACGAAGCACATGATTTAGTATCTTTTTCAAATTAATGCCAGCCTGAAAAAGCTGCCTAGTTAAACCACATTTCCACAGCCCAGATCCTACTTTAGGAGACCAGAGCAGCAGTTTCTAGAGTTTTGTTGGCTTTTAGTTTTACTGGAACAAAAAGCCAACTTGCACCTTTATGACCTACCACCAGGGCGTATGATTCAAGGGCAAATGTTTCTTCCAGGTAAGAATCACGTTCTCCAAGTATGAACTTTACTCACATTCACTGCAGCAAATCAAACATTTCTTCCGAGAAATAAACTTCGGGGCAAAGCATCACAAACAAGCAGACTCTTTGTATACTGTTCTTTTAGTTGACTTATATGTTCCAAAGTAGAGTATTTTTTCCAAGACCAAAGCAAATACAGCAGGAGCAGTACAGATAAATAGATCTATTAAGCCAAACACAATTCTTTAGAAATTCGCAGTACTTATTCTAAAGACTGAATATAATTGGCTTCAGAGAAATCAGACCTTAGTCTAGACAAAGCGAACTCTCCTATTAGCCGGCTGTCAGGTGGAATACTGGGAATACCAGGAGCTCTGGCAATGACAGACTTTATTCACTGTCTCGATCACCAGCTATTTCTTCTGTGGGTAAAGACTTTAGTCATTGACCGCTGTACAAATGAAGGCATTTAAAATTCCTGGTTGTATCAGAATGAGTAACAATAACATTCTGGTTTTACAGTTTCGGTCCTCATTAACTTTTGGCTTGAGACAGTTGACATTACTTACCAGCAGTAAAAGCGTAATTTCAAGGGCTCCCAGGAGAAATACTTCTATATACAAAGAAAGAAAAAGTTTCTATAGAAACCAACACTCAGCATGATTGACTTCACCATAGTCATTCTACTACTCAGGTTTCCATCATCAATTCAAAGTTATATCTAAGCAAAACAAACAAGAAAAGGTTTGGTTGAATGTGTTAACTAATGAGCCACCACCACAATAGCTTCACAGCTTAAGCAGGTCATGACAAATCCTCTAGAGAAAGAGTTAACTTCACTAAATGTACACAATACCAAGTTTGTAGGCACTTTACAAGTGGGTACTCTACCTCAAAAGCAGTAGAATACTGTTCATTTAAAAAA